TTTGGCCACAGATCTTGCAAAACTGTGTGGATTATGCACGCGGATATCCATCATGTCAATGTCACGGACCGTTTCGAAGGTACCATGTTTACGGGCGCGAAGGTCAAGGCATTCGTGGCCTAATATAGGATCCAATTGCTTCATTCTTCTCCTTACTACCCCCAAGCTAACTGGCAGGCCGAGGCAACAAAAAACCAATCAAATATCGCATATAATATGAACATTTAACGCATGCGATTTCTAACTATCAAAATACCTATGGTCGAGGGCACGGGCACCTCCTCCACCTCCTCGGAGATAGCGGCAGGTGATTCCTCACCACTTGAACGCCCATTAACCGGTTTGACTAGGGATCGCCGAAGGGCCGCCACATTCGAGTGTACTAAAAAATCAGCCCACCAGTCGTCGAAAGAAGGCAACGTGCTTATATCATAAGCATAAGATGAGTGCGGCAGTTCCTCTATGCCACGGATATAAGAACGCCAAGACTTCGACAAGAGCCGACCCCAAACTTTGACCCGAAACAAGGGGGCGGTAGGAGAAAACCAAACAGGGGATCCCTTGAACTAGGCCAAACTGGCGCGCACAGTAATGAGGTTGGTAATCCTCTCCGAGCAACGGATTGTATCAGGAGCCCACGGACAACCCCCGATCAAAATTCGAGCGGTCAGGCACTTGTTCCAGCACACGGAACCAAGGAGGTCAATAGTTACAAAGATAGAAACATCAAGAGGTGCGAAGAAATTGGACAAAAGGCAGAATTGGGCCAAAGGTTGATTAGTCTCGTGTATGAGAGAGTAGGTGATCAAATGGAGATCGCCTTGAACAGAAAGATACGACGCCAGATGAGGACCCAAAACTGTGAGCGGACGGATGGGGAGTTCAGGGCGCAGGCTAATTAGATTCGGGAAATATAGCTGTGCCCATAACTCAAGAAACCAGAAAGGACCCGCTCCCACCGGTTCACGGGAGTAGGACACAGAAAGCTTTCCCAAAAATTCATTTATACCATGACATAGCAAACCCAGGAAGTACGAGGCTAAGTCTTTCTCCACCCCTGATATAAGAACATGCACAATCGGTTCTACCTCCCGGATGAACCCTTTCGACGCGCAACAAACAAAATACTTACTAAACCAATACATAAGGAAAACATTGTGTTCCAAAGGATCAACAGAACCATAAAACATATTTGATGCAAGGAACTAACTCACAGTGGTGTTGCTATCATAGGGGACGGGAATCGGTAATCGGTCGGGCTTATACAATGGGGATAAAGGAGGCTCTACCCCTTTTGAATGGAGACCTAAAATCGCTACCACATCCAACACAGTCGGGGCCAAGATCCCGAAGGGGAATACAAATGTGTTTATCCCTTGAAGTTGTTCCCCGCCACTGGTCGCCTAGGTCGCCGGGTCACCTCGCTGGAGTACGCCCGGAAACCACCGCATTTTGTCTTGGGAATAGAGGAAGCGAACTCGCCGGCGATGAAGTGGAGCCGAAGTGAAGAAGGAAGAAGGCGAGGGTTTTTCTTTTCGTGACTGGAAGAGGGGAAAGTGAGGTTAGTGTATATCGGAAGACACAAATGGGTATTCCAGAAGACTGAAAGACGGGATGGGCGCTGACACGATTAAGCGCGCGAACCCAAATTTGTAAAATAGGGATCTTACAAAATCATCCGGCTACCAAGTTAATTTTACCCAAATAATTTTGTGTGGGGCATTTGTACACTCCAAAAAATCAACCAGGCCGGCCCAAGATGGCGCAACCCAAGTCCCGAGAGGGCACGACCCGGAGAAAGGTCCAGATCTGAAGATAAGCCCACGGTCAACAAGTAAACGGATAAGGTATATTTGTAAAATAAGAAGATGTTGGAGAGGTTGAAGGAAAATAAGGGATAAGAATCTTATCCGAATAAAATTAGGAAATAAAAGCTTAAGAAGGCGGAAGGACGCAGGACGAATCAAGGTCTTCTGCATTAATTTTTTCTCTGTAATTTTTTAATTTCTGCATTCTTTTTAGACTGTTACAGTTTTCTCCCGTTAATTCTAATTCAATTTCCAATTTTCTCCCGTTAATTCTAATTCAATTTTCAGTGTTTATTGTTGTCTTACCTTCTTTCTTCGTTAATTCTTTCGGTTATCGCGAGATAGCCCGAATCCTTTCTTGAGGAGGCCGAGGAACCCTAGGATTAAATCAATTTCGATAAGCTTTTCCGGTTAAGCCATCGGTGGCAATATTTTTACAACAACAATAATATATTTATGTTATATAGTTATATTATACCAAGATCATTTTGGTATTATTTTTAGTTAACATATATATTGATTTATTCAGAGTAATTTTAATTTTAAAAAATAGTAAATTATATGGTTCGTTATTAAAATTTATATTGATTAATATTTAAAAATTAAAATATAATATTATATAAAAACATTATTAAACAATAAAAAATATATAGAAAAATGTATAAAAAAATATAATATATAAATTATTAAAGGTCATGTGACAGTGACTCGACGGATATTGTATAGTTTTTATTTTATTTATTTTTATTTTTTTATAGTTTTATTTTTTTAAAAATTTTATATTTTATAATAAAAATACAAATAAAAAATATCTACGTGACATACGCTTATCTGTCACGTGGCGTTAAGTTGGCCGACATGTCTCCACCGGCATGCCATGCAGATGTCATATAGGCATGGAGGATTAAATTTAAAAAAAAAAATTATTTACGAAACTATTTTAAGATAGCATCCAAGTATGGGACTAAAAAAAATGTCAGTTACTAGATTAAAAAAATAATATTAATTTTCGCTATTTTCATATCAATCTTTACTATAAAAAAATAATAAAAAAATTATTATTTATAATATAAAATCAAAGTAAATATCACTTCGTGTTAATATTTTAATATTAATTATTATATCAAAACGTAATACAAATTAAAAAAAATGATAAAAATACTTCTATTGGTGTCTCATAATACTAGTATAATGATATTTTTACAGAAAAAAAATATACAAATATAAGAATATTTTTAATATTAAAAACAATGCCGTCAAATGCAAATGAATAGATTGACTATAGACGGAGATAGTATATCATTATTCATATATAGTGGAATGCACGAGGATATAAATCTATTTTTTTAATAGAATTTTAAATCTTCTAATAATATATAGTAAATTACATTTATTATCATATTTTTTTAAGTAATTTTAACAATTAATTCAAACAATTAAAAACACATTAAAAAAAAAAAAGAAAACTATATTTTTTAAAAGTTATTTCAAACACAAAATCTAACTTTTACTCGGATTGCCCTAAAATGAGAAACTACAATTTTTTTTTCGTATTAGTTTCTATATTTTGGGCGTAAACCACCCAAGAAGCTTGGACTTACTCAGATTTATAGAATCTCTTAAAACGACACCGTCTTGTACATTGAATCTGCCAATTTGCTGAACCGTGTAGATACTCTGGACGATGCTATTGCCGCCGGCTCCGGTCGTAATCACCAAAATACCATTGTCCCTGAAATATATGAAATCATTCGACACTACAACGCTATCAATATCATTCACTGACGTCGATACTGCGTCGCAACCTCCGCCAACGAACACCGCCTGCCGCCCGATGCTCCTAAGCTTCTTCGGCAAGCTGCCGTGGCAAAGATTAATCTGGTGCACCTCAACACCTCCGATTTTCATCAACTTGTACGAAAGTGATTGATCATTTATATCTGCTTGTTGATCCACCGTAGCACTCACCAGCAGCATCTCGCCGGACGCCGCCGCCACCAAAAAATCCTCTCTAAAAACTCCTCTGTGCAGAGAGAAGCCAGGCGGAGGAGGGGGTGGAATTTCGCCCTCACGTGCTCCTGCGTACACGATGGTTACAATCTCCAAGTCCACCTCGCCCCCGTTGATTAGGCTAACAGTGCGGCAGCCAAGTCCGATTACTCCATCGGAAACAGAAGTTGAATTCCGCAGATCATTAGAGAAGAATATCAGCTTGCCTCTATGAAACAGGACATCCATCGGGTACTCATTGCCGATCATCGAATCCACAACCGTCCACTGCGGATCGTCTGGCGTGCAGATGATCAACTTCCGGTGGGAACCTGGGTACTGAAAACCGAAAATCATCGCCGCCGCGAGCTCGCCGGAATTCGTGGAGAAGACATGAACCCTCGTAACGTAACAAGATAAGAAGTTGAACCCTATCCCTAAGCAGTCATCGATAAAGTTCTCAAAAAATTGCAATGTCGACAAGGGAGGAAGATTCCTAATCTCTCCGGACAGCGGATTCCATAGCAGAATCTTCCCAATATCCGCGACGCTATCGCCGCCACCGCCGATGAACAGCCATCCCCGGGAAGATCCGCAGCAGCATTGCCCATTGTTGGGATACTCGAAAGTGTATTCTTTGTTGCTTGGGCTTAAAAGTTTAATTTTCTTGGGATTGCTTTCTTGATCGAAGCTTTTCGACAAGATCTTCCATGGCGGCTCCGATGGCGGTAATTGGCGCAGAGTAGCATTCCATGCCTTTGAAACAGTTCTCACGCGAATGCGATCGACTGTCCATAATTTCTGTAGTATGATCTCGGCGACGTGATTGGGAATTCCGTCGATGAGAAGAATATCGGAGGAGTAACTTGATGCCATTGTCAATCATTTCTAATTGAATTTGTAGATTTGTAGATTTAAATAAACAATATATATATATATGTATATAGGGGAGATTAGTAGAATTATATTTAATTTTAATTTAAATACTATATGTATATGAAATTTTATAGTTGAAAAAATAGTGAATTTACCATTCTCTTTATTTATTGTCATCAACATTATATCAAACAATTATATTGTCCAACAGGATATTTATCTAGCCGGGTTCTCACATTATAAATATATATATATAATTATAATTTAAAGCATGTATATACATATATATATATATCTTAAATGCCACAAGAATGAATTTTCGACCACTTAATTCTTCAAAGCAAACTGATTGCTTGAAGGCATTGGCAACAGAAAAACTTTGTTGGCAGACATCTCAACTTCAGCCACCAAGTCATTATTCTTAGTGAAAATTCTTGCTATTCCATCACAAAAAATGACCGAATAACCACTTTGTATAAGCTGCCCCACACTCAAGAGGTTTTGCACTAGATTAGGCACATAAAGAACGTCATGAATTAATTTTTTGTGTCCTCCTTTGGTAAAGAGTGCAATCGTGCCCTTTCCTTCAGCGCTTTGAACATTTCCATCTCCAAGCTTTGCGTGTGAAGTACAGCTCCTGTCAAGTTGCTCAAATTGGCTTTCATTGCTTGTCATGTGGCTACTGCAGCCACTGTCCAGATACCATAGGTCGGATTTCTGATCTTCATCTTTTACGCTCGTGTAAAATAATGTCTCAGATTCGGCATTCTGCTCCTTCAAGAAATTTGCTTCAGTTTGCCCCTTCTTTTGATACCAACAGTCCTGTTGTCAGTGATTAGGAATTCGACACCTCCTGTATTTATGAAAGCAGTCCTTCGAATCATGATTGGACTTCTTGCAGATAATGCAATACGGGCTGCGTGCTGGTTTTTTTTTCAAGATTCTCGTCCCTGTTCTTTGGAACAGATTCTTTCTTTCGTTCTCCTCCTCGGTTGGGTTGATCTCCTCTATAAAAATTCCGTCTTTATGGTGCATTTTGGTGAGACTTTGCTGAAACAAAAGTCTTCGATTGAAAGGCCTGCTCAAAGGACTAATTTTGAGCTCTTTCAATCCTTTGTTCGTGAGCCTGAAGCAAGCTCATCAACTCATGAAGTGACATCACGGACAAATCTTTGGATTCATCTATGGCAGCAACACAATGGTCGAATTTAGGAGGTAAACTTCTTAGAATCTTCTCGATTACCTTCTTGCTTTGGATGGTGTCTCCCAGACTTTCAATGTGATTGACAATGTCAACAACTCTTGTAAAAAATTTACTCACATTTTCATTCTCTTTCATCGCCAAGTTGTCGAAGTCCCTCCATAGTGATTGAAGGCGAATAGAGATAACTTTGTCATTGCCATGAAACTCCTCCTTCAACACGTCCCATGCATTTTTTTCCTTCTTTTCTTACCCACTCCTTGCTTGATGTAGCGAAGTGCAGTGCAATCCTTTTTTTTATTTTCTTTGTGTTGTTTTTGCTGAGCGTTAGTCCAGGCTGCAGACGCACCTTCTACAGGTGGTTCTTCGAATCCATCTGCTACAATGTCCCAAAGATCATGTGAAATGAAGAAATCTTGCATTTCACTACTCCAATAATTGTAATGATCGCCTTCAAAGATTGGAACCTCACTCGGGGAATATTTAAACATGGTAGAAACAGAATTGGACATTGTTTTGAGGCTCTGATACCAGATTTGTTGGGTATGATAGATAGTTGAAGAATTTGCAGAAGAAAATATTAAGTGCTGCTCACTATGCTTTGAAGGTAAGTTCTTTTTTTTCATCAATGAAGTAAGGAATACATCCATATGTATAACCAAGAGACTTTCTAGACAACTCCATAGGACTCTTGATCTTCATGCCATTACTTCAGGGTGTCAATTACTAAAACTTAAAGTTCATATTAATTATTTTGAAAGTTACAAATTATTGTTTCAACAGGTCGCGGATGGAAAAATAATGTACAATGCTACAATTGCCAAAAATTTGGACACTTTGCAGCAGATTGCAAATTTAACTCCAATAGAGTTGAAAAGGCGAACCAAATGGAGGCTACTGAAGAAGAAGAGGAATCCACATTGCTATTGTCAAAGTGAATCAAAAAAAACTCAAGACTTGGTTTCTTGACTCCAATGCTAGCAATCACATGACTAGAAACAAATCCTTGTTCTCCAATTATGGGGAAATGTGATATTCTAATCAAATTGAAGAATCAAGAACATGAATTTATTTCTCACATCTATTATGTACAAGACTTGAAGTCCAACATTTTAAGCATGAGCCAATTATTGGAAAAGGGATATGAGTTTCATATACAGGGCAATAGACTGGCAATGAGAAATGGAAATGGAAAGCTAGTTGCAAAGGTTCGATGACAAACAACAGAATGTTCAAACTTAACATTTATCCAGATCATGTTAAGTGCTTGAACATGTCTATTGAAGATCCGTTGTGGCTTTGGCATCAACGATTTGGCCACTTGAATTTTGACGGGCTGAAGATAATGACAATTGAGAAAATGGCGCAAGGTTTAACTTCGATAAATCATCCAAATCAATTGTCTGAAAGCTGTATTTTGGGAAAACAATTTCGAAATTGTTTCCCAAAGGAATCTGGAAGTCGTGCCACAAAGCCTTTGCAATTGGTGTATACAGACATTTGTGGTCCTATCACTTCAGCACCATTCGGTAACAAGAAATTTTTTTTGCTGTTTATTGATGATTATAGTCGCAAGACATGGTTTTATTTCTTGAAGGAAAAATCTGAAGCATTCGATGCATTCAAAAGGTTCAAGGCTTTGGTTGAGAACAGCGCAGGCCTATAAATCAAAGCAATGAGAACGGATCGAGGAGGAGAATTCACTTCAAATGCATTCAACAAATTTTGTGATGAGCATGGGATTCATCGAAGGTTGACAACTCCATATTCTCTCCAACAAAATAGGGTTGTTGAGAGGAAGAATAGGACAATATTGAACATGATCCGAAGTACGTTGAAATCAAAGCAAATGCCAAAGGAATTTTGGGCGGAAGCTTGTGCAGTTTATTTATGCAACAGGAGTCCGACGAAGAGCTTGCACGAAGTTACACCACAAGAGGCATGGAGTGGAAAGAAACCAAATGTGTCACATCTTCGTGTATTTGGCAGCCTTGCTTACGCTCATGTTCCAGAATTGAGAAAGAAATTGGATGACAAGAGCAGAAAGCTGGTATTCATTGGGTATGACCAAAAATCAAAAGGATACAAGTTGTATGATCCAGAGAAGAAGAAATTGATTTGTCAGTCTGGATGTTCAATTCGACGAATCAAGCACATGGAATTGGAGTATTATAATTTTCTTCCACTATCAGTTGATGATGAAATTGCTCCTGAAGTTGCGACTCCAGAAACACCTTCGAACCTCTCTCCATCACAAGGTTCTCATCCGAATTCAATTCCCTCACCAAGTTCGTCTGGTCGCCCTCGTCGTTCTAGGCAATTATCAGATCTCTATGAGGAAACTGATGAGGTACAAGCTCATTTTTGTTTATATACTGATGCTGAAACAATTACATTTGATGAAGCAGTCCAGGATGAAAAATGGAAGCAGGCGATGGATGAAAGGCGATCTTGAAAAATGATACTTGGGAAATGGCGACACTTCTAGTACGAAAACAAACAGTGGGACTGAAATGGTTATTCAAGATAAAGAAAAATGCCAAAGGAGAGGTCGAGAAATACAAAGTTAGACTTGTTGCTCGTGGCTTTACGCAAAAAGCTGGAATTGATTATGAGGAAGTATTCGCTCCAGTCGCTCGATTGGAAACCATTCGAGTGGTCATATCTTTAGCAGCCCAACACAATCGGAAAATCTTCCAAATGGATGTGAAATCGGCTTTCTTGAATGGATACTTAGAAGAAGAAGTATACATAGAGCAGCCACTAGGTTACATTGTTGAAGGGAAAGAGGATAAGGTGTTGCGATTGAAAAGGGCGTTTTATGGGCTCAAGCAAGCAACGAGAAGTTGGTATAATCGGATTGATGCATATTTTCTGAAATGTGGACTTGAAAAATGCTCACATGAGCATGTTGTGTATCTAATGAGAAACAAAAATGGTGGTGTTTTACTTGTATGTCTATATGTGGATGACTTGATTTTTACAGGGAATGATCTAAGCATGTTCGATGATTTTAAAAGGAGGATGACTGAAGAATTTGGAATGACGGATTTAGGCCCCATGTCATATTATCATGGAATTGAGGTGCAGCAAAGTGATGAAGGGATTTCCATCTCCCAAAAGGCTTATGCTGAGAAAGTGCTAAAGGATTTTGGCATGATGAATTCCAAACCCGTAAGCACACCAATGGAGTGTGGGCTGAAGTTATCAAAATATGATGAAACTAAAAAGGTAGATCCTGGAATGTTCAGAAGCTTGGTTGGTTGTTTGAGATATTTGACATGTACAAGACAAGATATCTTGTACAACGTTGGCATCATCAGTCGATTTATGGAATCACCAAGTTCAATCCATATGAAAGCAACTAAGTGAATATTGATTTACATCAAAGGAACCATCGATTATGGTTTATTTTATTCTGTTGTTGGATATTTTGGACTAACTGGATACAACGATAGTGATTGGGGAGGAAATATCGATGACCGAAAGAGCACTTCTGGCTATATTTTTTATTTGGGAAATGCTGCATTCACTTGGAGTTCAAAGAAGCAAGAAATTGTCGCACTTTCCACCTGTGAGGCTGAATACGTTGCTGCTGCGTCCTGTGTTTGTCATGCGATTTGGTTGCAAAAATTGTTGGAATATCTTGGCTATCCTCAAGATGAAGCTACTGCCATTCATGTTGACAATCCATCAGCAATATCTTTGAGCAAAAATCATGTTATTCATGAAAGGAGTAAGCATATTGACTTGCGATATCATTTCATAAGAGAAAGTGCTGCAAGGAATGAGGTCCAACTCAAGTATTTGAAGACTCATGATCAAGCTGCTGACATCTTTACCAAACCGTTGAAGTTCAGTGTTTTCAATTGGGCAAGAGCACTCTTAGGGTGTCACAAAGGTTCAAGTTTAAGGAGGGGTGTTGGTAATATAAACTTGAGTTAAAATTGCCATTAAATTATGTATTAATTATTGTGTGCTGTCCGTTTAGTTTCTCAATGTTTGAGTTATGTGTTAAGAGACTATTTAGTTGCTTTGTAACTACTATTTATAATATATGTGTATTGAAAAGACAAGTTTCTGAATTGTCCACCCCCTTGTCCAATATTGCAATTTTTTCTTTTGCCAAATCCAACACACCTCGCCGCCGTTTATTAGGCTAACAGTGCGGCAGCCATGTCCAACAACTCTGTCGCCGCTGTCAAAATCAGTTAAATCCAGCTTATTACAGTAGACAATCAGGTTGCCTCTATGAAACTGGAAGTCCATGGGGTTACCTATCGCCGATTTTCATATCCACGACCATCCACTGCGGATCGTCTGGAGTGCAGATGATCAGCCGCCGGTGGGCAGGTGTGACCAGACAACCGACAATCATGGCCGCCGCGAGCTCGCCGGAATTGGTGGAGAAGACATGAACTATCACAATGAAAAAAGATTAGAAATTGAACCCTAATCCTAATAAGGGTTTTTGAAACAGTTCACATCATTTTGATAATAATAAGTTTCAATAATATTATAAGTTTCATTGACAAAGTGAGATTTAATACATAAAAGGGGGAGGGGCGGCCAAGGTGAGAGTGCAGAGTAGTGCAGTTGCAGTTCTGGAGTCGTTCGATAGCCGTAAGAGCTATTCAACAGCAAAAGAACAGCACCAATATACTTTTCTCATGCTCTTTATATCTATTTCTATCGTTTTCTTTCATTTGCATTGTATGAGATTTTCATATGTTTTTTATTCCTTATTGATTATTGGTATTGGCATAATTTCTAAGTTTAGCCTTTATGATTGCTGAATTGAATAGATATTTTAGATCCGATATTATTTAATTCAACATTTTAATGCCAATTCGGATAGGGTATCCCCAATTGTATTTTTATTTTAACAAGTGACACACTGGTTGAGTAGTTACATCCGGTAGATTATGCAATTGAATGTTAACTGCTCATGTAGGTAGTAGTAATTTGAACTAGGTTTTCTAGATTATAATGCAAATAGGCAATTATATGCTTCTGCTCGTATCTAGGGTTGTTAGTCTAATAAGGGTCAATTAACGGGTGTATCTCTATTGTTTATAGAGTAAGAAAAAAGTGAATGACAAAACTTATTGATATCTATAACTAATTTATCAACATCATGATAACTATTTTTCGTTAAACCAATTATCCAATGCAAATCTCATACCGAAATCAGTCGACTAGGCCATTGGGGCTGTTTGGTTCATGGATTTGGTGGGATTCCATGTGATTTGAATTTTAAAGTCCTAATTAATCCATGTTTGGTTATAAATTTGAAGATAAAATTTTAAGTGTATCGGATTTTAAAATCTTACAAATGCAGGATTTTTCAGTAATAATGTACCCCTAGTTACTTTAAAATCTCACGTCATTCCATTTCACATTTTACTATTATACCTTCCCATCAAAATCTTCCAAAATAACATATTCGATAAATATTATATTTAAACTAAAATTGATACATTTTAATTATATTACGATTATTATTGATTTT